ACAATGACCGAAGATATAGTACCATATTAGTGAATCTATTGACCCTAGAAGATCGATCCAAGTACCATATGCACGAATGATGAACCGAGCCTCTTCTAGATGCAAGGCAGTGTGTCAGAAGCTAAGATCTATTGCAACCTATGCCGCGAACAGTTTCCCAAAAATGAAAGATCCAGGGATAGTCTCGTATATCTAAGGCAAGTAAGTGATTGACCCCTCATAGATGCCATATGGGATAAAAATAGAACTCTAGAAAAAGTAACGGCTATTAAAGGAACCAAATCAACTATGCAATTGTGACAAGGACGATGACCTACTAATATGGTCAAATCAATCAATACAACAACCAAAAGATTGAAAATACCCCTAACTTAAACTCATCCAAAACGCTGTCTATTTATTTTATCTTACCCTATCCCAATATGTGACTTGAGTGTCGGGGTGTAAACGAATATTGGACCACCTTCGATACGACATTCATGCATTGTAAATAATTATTAATGTGCAGGTAACTCGGGCGGACAAAGAGGTGATTGAAATATGTTGATAACAAGGTCCACAAGATATGGAGGTTAACAATTGTGGTTATTTTATTAAAATAAGAACTTGTTAATTATTGTCAGAATAAGTGAGAGACTAAGGGCGCAATTATAACTATCATCCCATCTAGGTTTTCTACGTACGCAGCTGCACGAAGCAAAAAGTTATTTGGTTGGTTTTTAAGAATTTTTATTAATAAAATATTGAGATATTTTTTTCAAAATTCTAGATATTGAATCAACCATATTGAGAGCATATCTGCCGGCTCTATTTTTAAAGAACATATTTTGCAATTTAAAAAGTAAAAAATTTTAAATGCTCCATCGGTCTTTTTATATTTAACATTTAGGGGTGCTTGATTGAAATCATGGAAATTGCACAAAATGAAAATAAATTCTAAGTAATTGAATTGTCTAGAACTTATCTACATGAAAATTGTCAATTAAATGTATTTGATTGGCTTAATTTTCAATCTAGAAAATATTTTTTTTTTTTATCTTTTATTGGTGGATACATGAGATAGACAAAGTAATGTTGAGTTTTTGGGAGGTGGGAATTGCATGGAAAATGTTTTACCTACCCTTCCTCAAAGAAAAATATTTTCTTTATTTTTGAAGAAAACATAATCACGTGACCAATTTTTGAAAAAACATTTTCCATGAAAAAATGGCAATCGAACATCCTAAAAATTAGAACTTGGGTGAAAAAAGAAGAAGATGGCATTTTCTATTAAAAATAAAATCAATCAAACACACCTTTAATTTTGTTACTCTCAATATATATTTCTAATTTTAACATATCTTATATTTTCACCAACTTCCATTCAAATTATTAGGGAAGATTGCAGCCACAATACCAACATTTCATTTAGTTACAGATTTTGCTCAAACCTTTCATTTATGTCACCCAATGTACTAAACCTTTAAAAAACTCGCACCCAAAGTCCAAGTGAATGGAAATCTTTAGTTTGACCATTAGTTGACCAGATAATTGACCATAACCATAATTTTGAATAATTTTAAAATGATAAAATGGTAACTTTACATTGTCTATAATAAAATAATAAAAGAACCCCAAACCACACATATCCACCCCACCCAAACCTAAAACTGTGTTATTTCCTTTACCAGAACCCATCGCTCAACCTGGAAAACCTATCCCTACCACCCAACCAGGAAAACCTACCGCTACATTCATTCCCATCACCCAACCAGGAAAACCCCACCACCAATCCATAGGCCATCGCTGCCCAACCACACAACACCTTACCTTCTTTATAGCCTCCACCAAATCGATTTTTCCAGCTTTAAGAAACTCTTTTTTTGTTGGAAATATTGACAGCTTCACCAATTTCTCCATAAACTCCATCTCTGCCTCCAAATATGCATCTCCATCACTCTCTTTACGCTAAAAGCACCTAAAACTCTTGTTACTACTTTCCAATTTCTTCAACCTTTGACTTCAAGAAACCACAAAGAATGGTCGAAAATTGCAACTTTTCGATACATTTGAAGCCTTATTTAGGATTGTATACACGAAATTGAGAAGGGATAACTAGATAATTCAAATGCAATAAGAAATGGTGGGATTTTGTAACGTGGGCATGAGTTGTGATGAGTGTAAACATCGTTCAGGCACGATTTTGAACACTGTGTATATTTGGGTGCAAGAAAGGGGAATTTTCATCCCCAAGCTGCATTGGGAACACAACAGCAGAGGCTCCAAATATTTTCTTCCCTCTCTTCCTCATTGAGATTTGGGGAAGAAAAATTTGTTGATGATGGGAATGAAGGTGGCGGTGGAGGAGATGGTAGTAACATCGACGTTGAGTGGGTGCGGTTGAACCGTCCGGTAGTTGTGGTGATGGTTTTGGGTTTGGGGTGGGGGTGGATATGTGTAGGGTGGATGGAGAATAAGAATGTGGAAATGAGTTTTTAATTTTAATTATTTGATTTTAGTTATTTTATTATAAAAAATGTAAAGTTACCATTTCAATATTTTAAAATTAGTAAAAATTATTGTCAATATCAATTATATGTCAACTAACGGTCAAACTAACAATTTTCATCCTTTTGGACTCTAGGTGTGAGTTTTTTAAAAGTTTGATATTGTGGGTGACACAAATGAAAGGTATGGGCAAAATCTGCAACTAAATGAAAGATTTGGCAATTGGCACCTTGCTACAATTATCCCAAATTATTATATCATTTTTCTCTATTTCCTTTGTATATGCAATTTAGCTGGATCAATATATAGATCATTGAAAATTTGAATATTTTGAATGTATTTAATCATAGGAGAGTAAAATCCACACTCTATTTTAAAAGAATAATGTTATTTAATATCTGTTTATGTGACATTAAGTAATAGATTCAAGAAAATGTAAACTTATGTAATTCACGTAATTGTAAATAATGTCATCTAACATCATTGGAACTACAAAACCAATCTAGGTGGTGTGTTGTGATTGATTCATTGATATAATTAAGTGACTTATTTAATTATTTCTCTCATTTAACGTCATATTAGTGCTATATAGAATGATGTTTTAATATCAGTTGTGCTAAATAACATTACTCATTTAATAACATTTAGTGTCACCTTAATTGGTGTTGTAACACCAATGGTACTAATGGTACTAACTAGCATAACTCATTTTAAAATGTTAATTTGAATTGTTTCTTGAAACATAATTTTAAGAAGTTCAAGATAAAGAGCATTTCACTTTTTTAAAGAGTCTCCTAGAGATGCTTTAAATTCCTGTTTGGTTTATTTAAAATAGTGAATTTTAATAGAAATTAGTGAAATAAGTAATTAAAAATTGCTAAAAATTATGAATTTCATACAATATGCTATTAAAAATAATTTTTTAAAAATAAAAATCAAACAAAAGCTAAGGGTGCGTTCTCTTTGCTGTTTTCGGGCCATTTTCTGTTTTCGATTTTCCAAAACGGAGAAAACGCGTTCTCTTTACTATTTTTGAAAACGCATTTTCGAAAACGAAAATTCTTTTTACATTGAAAACGCAAAACGACTTTTCAACCGTTTTGGCTGTTTTCCAGCAAAATCAAGCAAAAATGGAAAACGTGGAAATGGAGTTATTGTTCGGTCTCCCTTCCACGATTATCTCATCTCATCGGTTTCTCTCCTCCAACGCCGATGACCACCACTGCACTACCACCGCACAAATCGCAGATTGGAACCAGAAGCAAAATAAAAATGAGTTGCACCCAACCACCGCATAGCCAAAAATCGTACCACCACCACAGCCAAATTCGTATCCAACCACAGCCAAATTCGCACCTAACTACCGTTCACAGAGAGAACCAGAAGCAAAATAAAAAGGAAAATGGAGAAAATGAGTAGCACACAACCACCGCTGCAGCCAAATCGCACCCCAACCACAGCCAAATTCGCACCCAACCACCGTTCAACCAAATTCGCACCCAAAATCGCAGCCAATATTGCATCCAACCACTGTTCACAGAGAGGGAAGGGGAAGAAAAGATAGAGACCCGACGGTGAGGATGGGAAGAAGGCAGAGAGACGCAACGGAGGAGGGGAAGAAGAGAGAGACGCGACGAAGAGAGAGATATGGTGGAAGAAACATGGGAAATGATTTGGGGAAAAAGAACGCGTTTTCCATTTTTAGTTTTTGGAAATGATTTTTCAAAATACCAAAAAAAACACATTTTCAACAATTTCAAAATAGACACTCAAAACACAAAATTCAAAACGAAATGAAAACTCAAAACAGAAAACTGAAATACGAAGAGAACGCCACCTAAATATCTTCTGACATTACTCCGTTGCATCTCACTAAAAACGCTCCAAATTCCTCTTTACAGAGATTGGATCCCTGATTTATGCCTCGATTTAAGTGGGTCATATCGTTGAATTTAGAGAAGTGCTTCATGTACAGAAGCCAATTCACCAGAAAACACACATATGTGGGTCCCACACATTATTATTATTATTACATGTGGGGCCCACTCATTATTAAAATTCTGGTGAATTTCTGTAAAATGATTTCTGTACAAATGAATTTTTCCTTGAATTTATTATTTTGTTTCAATCCAGTCGTCCAAACTCGCGCTTGGATGAAAAATACTGTACACTAATCTTTTTTTACGAGAAATGGGATTGAATGTATTAACTTAATTGAAATTTAAAAAAAAAAAAAAAGAAGGAAAAAAAAACGTTATTCAAAAATATAAGAAAATTAAGTTGAGTAAAGTCCCCAGACTTGTATAAAGTTTTCGATTATTGTCAAGACAAAACAAAAAAATATATTGAAGATAGATATCTCAAAATGTATCCAAATTAAAAGAAAGGACATGACAGTATGTTAAAGCTAGAAGATAGAATCTATCATAATTTAATTTTAGCACCATATCCAAGTAGCAAATTCTCTTGATGCCATCTAGTCAACAACTAAATAGGAGAAGAGGCCATATAACTCATGCACTTACAGCAGCAGCAGCAGCAGTATCGAAGATATGGTCGCGTCTACTCCTGATGAACTTTTCCCGGAATTGATCAAATCTTCCTTCTTTAATCGCTTCTCTTATCAACCGAAAGAATCCCAGATAGTGGTGAGTGTTATGTCTGTAAGAAGGAAGCACAATCTCATGTCAGGCAGGAATAACTTCTTGATAGTTGACAATAATACAACTGCGAATGGATCCTTACATTTCTAGTAGAATCTGAGCCAACATTTCATGAACGTTAAGCAAGTGATTTATATATGCCTTCGTATGATTCTGGCACGTGTAACAATTGCAACCCTCAACAATTGGCGACGAATCTTTTCTGTAAAAAGAAATAGCAAAAGTAAACTATAGCAGTAGTAAGTGTATTAATGATGTCCAAGAAAGAATAGCAAGAAAAATAAATTTGGAAATAGAAGATAAATGCATCAGTAATTACAAATTCACTTCAATTTGAGATGCAAAGACATATTCTGGAAAATAGAAGTCATTACGAAAAGAGTAATTTTATTTAGCATCAATAGTGTTCAAAATTAGTCTAGATGGCAACACTTGTGCATTAAATTATAAGTTTAATTAAATACAAAGATTTATAGCCTATTTAATAGGACATATGATATGCTGACACCTAAACTATTGTTCGACATTAAGATAGGTGATCTATCAATCCAAAGAAGTTTAATTATTTAATAATTCTTACAAATTAAATTTCATGAATCCCAAATGCAAAAATGTCTTTACATATAAGTGCTCGCTTTTTATATATCTTAGATAGACTACTCACCCCTTTGTGAAGTGAACAACGATATAGTCTTTCAAAATAAAGCACTCAACTTATTTCACCGACTATGTACAAATATTAAGGCCTTGTTTGAACCAAATTATTGTAGAATGAGAATGAAAAATATAGTCGTTATTGGGGTCCACGTAAGAGATAGAAAATTTGAATTTAAAAGTTGATGTGATAGATAACGGTCATATTTTTTATTTTAATGAGATAAAAATATAGATCAAACGGGGGCTAAGTTACAAATTACAATATTAAGTTTTTTTGCAATTGTACATAAAGCTGTTATATGCATAATTCATAATTTCATATATCCTAGAAACCTTAATATTTGCTTGAGAATTAATAATCACAAACAACTCTAAATCTCCGAATGAATTAATAAATCACAATTTTTGGCACTCAGAAAAGTAACTGGATACTTGGAATTCCAGCAAGTCTTGAGAGCACTATTCCTAACAATTACATCAATAATGGAGTCAAGAATATTTTTCAAAACTAAGATTTATAATGCAAGCTCTCCATAGACTATAGTTTACAATAAATTCAGAGTGGCAAAGAACAAAAAAGTACAGCAATTCACGAAAGTATATAGAGATATGTGAATTACATTTCCCCACAGCAAATAATATTAAGTTTATCTAATAAACCAAATAGAAGGAAAGAAGCTTAGTCATCAAGCCAACCAAACTACAAAGAGAACTACTTATGGAGCATTCCAATAACACAAATAATGAAAAGATAATGTGACAACAAATATAAGCTTGATGCATCAATATTCATTTCAGCATGCTGCCAGTGTAACCATAGCACAGATAGCAATGGTTCAAGAAGACATTTCAATAGTACAGTAAAGCATTACCGGTAAATGGTTGCTTTGAGATTAATCTTTGTGTCATCACTGCTAGTATCACATAGTTGATCATCGTAATCATTTCTCCTGGTTTTCTCTGGATGAAATATAAGTGCAAAGCCTCCTAGCGTAATATGGTAAATATACCTGTCAAACAATTATTAGTTCATTCAAGTTTTGCAGGAAAACTCATCATTGAGAAACTGACAACATTCCTGAGCTTTAGCAACATACGCAGAATCAAATATGTCAATGCCTGCAGCAACACCCTGCAAAACTTCCTCTACAAAAATTGAAAATCATAAATCAATTTACAATGAAAATCTCAATGACAGGTATACAAGATAGAAAAAAAATCATGGGAAGGAGTATTTCATCCTAAACAAAGAGAAGTTGTCTAACAGCCATCAAGGAAGATTTAGGTAAATTCAAATTTATTTTGGTGCATCAAACCACATTCAGTGGATCAAACACTAAATTCCAGTTTACCTTTTACTCTACTCAAGTAACAAAATTATTAAAAGGAAGATTCCAGTAGAAAAAATAATGGCAAGATTCAATAAAGATGAGCTGATACCTGGAAGTCCCAGGCCACTTATCTGTCGTGGCTTTTCCTCTGGTAAAATATCCTGAAATTGTAAGTTACAAGCAAGTAAGAATCATACTTATGCAAACATATCCATCAATGAGAAGATAGAATGAAGGTAAATTAGTGATGACATCAATTGAACTTAATCATACAGGACAAGCATAATATCCTAGCAATTTCTTCTCCTTTAATGCGATTATGTCCCACTACTTCATGCAAGACATCTATTTTGAATGAGACAATCTCTTTCATGATGAACTTCTTCACCAAATAACTCTTCATCAGAATATTATCTAAAGAACCATACAGTTTTCACACTTTAACATGAAAACTCTCCGATAGAAATACTATTTAACATGTAACTAACTATGCCTTTCTTGCAGAAGAACACATCTTAGTTTCAATACACTGTGGCACACGGTATTGTCATATAGCAGGGTCAATCAGGAAATATGATAGTGCGATATGCAAAGTGAATTTAATAATTGAAAGCCCAAGATGAAAAACCCATTGCTTAAAGCTTATGCACAAGGATCAAGGATCAATCCCAATTTGATTTATCACACGTTTTAGAACGCAAAGAAGAATCATGAATCTAGCTAAAAATGTCTACAAACAGGTACTACAGTCGACCAGAGTGGATGGTCCGACAGGGAACTGATGAACCAGACTCGAATACTTTACTATCACATAATAATCAAATGGCTATCTTATAATCTTCTTGATAAATATATGGGGAAAAATGGTTTGTGAAAATCAAAATACACAAGTTATTAGACGATGTTCAACACAAGTAAAATGAAGATAACATAGCACTATGGACGCTATCAAAATCAACAATATACAGATAATTTGTAATTCAAAACCAAAGAAAATTTCCCCACTTTTGAAACAAATTATTCTATTAATAAAATATGTTTAGATATCAAAAATGAATTTGACTGACAAAATTAAGAGAGTAAGTTTGAACTTTCCATTTTATATATCAGAGTGTGAAAGAGATGACCTGAAAAACATTTTATATATCACGTATGGAAAAATTTACCCCAAAACAAACCAAAAAGCACAATTGAAGCTTATAAACAGACCAGAATCTACACATCCAGACTTACAGTAGGTTACGGAGGCGAAGCAGCTGGTCTAGGGCTTGAAGTCGCAGGCATGGAGGCGAAGCAGGAACTGTCGAAGGATGAAGAAGGAAGAAGCCGAATCGCCNTTCACACTTTAACATGAAAACTCTCCGATAGAAATACTATTTAACATGTAACTAACTATGCCTTTCTTGCAGAAGAACACATCTTAGTTTCAATACACTGTGACACACGGAATTGTCATATAGCAGGGTCAATCAGGAAATATGATACTGCGATATGCAAAGTGAATTTAATTATTGAAGCCTAAGATGAAAAACACATTGCTTAAAGCTTATGCACAAGGATCAAGGACACTTTTGCATATCAAAATGCAAGAGGGAAGCTAGAGTTTATAAATTAACGACAAAACTAAATCCCTGAGATGGAAGAAAAATGGAAGACTGTAGAATTAACTGAATATGTGTAAAGACTCAATTATAGGCTGCTTAGTTACAAGCATTCTGATGTTTTTTGCTTCTCCTGGAACTGGGAGCACGTTCTCTTCAAAGTCCAATCCCAGATATCTGGGAAAATTCACTGAACCTTATCTAAAAACTTGTGTGATAGGCAATTGATTTGTGAGGAGGATTTGTGCCCTACTTTAAATCAGAAATAGTGAAAAGAACATAGACTCTTCTCTTTAAAAAGAATAGTATGTTGTCCATGGGAACAAGACAGGACATACTGTAACAGCACTGAGGAGGGAAGGGCGCTCCTCCATACTCTCTCCAAGGCCAAAGCCGCCAATATGATAACCTGCATTGTACAATCACTTTTTAGGGTGGTGACGAAAGAAAACAAGACCATTAAATGAAATATGAAGAAAAAGGGGATATAAACAATATATCTAAAATGAAGTGGCATTCAATGTGACTTAAGGAACACAAAAAATACTGAAGGCCAACAAATTGAATAGGTTTCTTCAAACCAAGAACAATGCTAGCAGTACCTCATAGTGGCACATCTAATTTCCAGATGGAACATTGACAAAATAAATGGCTACAATAACCTGATACATTTTGCTGGGCAACTTCTTGTGCACAACGTTGGCGTTCTTCTACACTAGAACCTCCCACAATGGATCCAAAAACAGCACCACCTGACTGAACTTCAACAGTTAATATGAGATAAATAAGAACCTCCTAAGAGCATGTTTGGCTTGGCTTGTTTCTACAAAAGAAGTTACTTTTGTGCCCAAAATACACTAAAATTTTGAGCTTCTCTAGGTGTAGAGTGTCTTGCTGTCCAAAGAAGATATTCTTTTGGCTACTTTTGTAGCATTTTAAGTTAAATCAAAAACATGCTCTAAATCAATTACAAAAGCATGCAGAAAAATTCTTATTTGTTAACAATATATTGACGTGTGTCCAAGATATTTATTAATCGGATACTAAGCATCTACACACCAGGCGAGCAGCAATCCTAATATCTGCAGTATAAGGAAGCCTGGATAACATATTTTTTTAGTGGACATTGTAAATCGTGTGTTGATGGATAAATATTGATTGTATGAGCACCTCATGAATCAACACATTTAATGGCAACAAAAAACATGGCACCCCCAACTTGACACATGCTGACATATCTTAGTATTTGGCAGACCAAGTTATATTCTATTATCTAGTTCTTCACTGTTCCCATTCAGTGTTTTCGTAAACACCCTTAGCTTAAGCTTTGAAAGGCACTTGGACGAGACAGCCATCAAGAGACTCAAAGCTTACGCTTTGAGTTTGTCAAGGCTTACGCACTGAGATGCATGCCTCAAGGCACAAGTCTCATGGACTAGACCACGAAGACACGTACATTGACCCAAAAAGGACGGCCCAGTTTACACCTTTGGTCAAATCAAACTTGAACCTTGTTTGTTGTTAAGACTGAAAAGTTATCATCAGGTCACGAAGAAAAACCGAGATAGGAAAAACTTGAACACTTTTCAGGCCAACTTAATTAAAACAAACTTCCTTTTTTGCTTCAATATAAATCATGGAAATGCAGTCCCCGTATCTTTGTAAAAGGGCTGGGTTAATGGTTGCTTGATTTCTTCTTATATAGTCTCCTATTTTTCAATTTTGCTCATTTTCGTTGGGGAACTAATCAGCTTTCCTTTTATAGGACTTTCTTGTCTTGTCCTTTCTTCCTATAGATAGTTCAATTCAATCAGAAAAATGAAAGTCAAACAATGATCAAGTGTTTCGGACCCTATCTACATTTAATTTTTTGAGCCTGGTATATTGTCCGAGAATTCAATTTCATCAAGATTTTGGCATAAAATTATATGTAGGTTGTGATTTCATTGGATTCATTATTGATTATGCCTTCTCCAAATTTTCAAGCTGTGAATAAAAATCTGGAAAATATTCATAAAAATTAATATGACATGTGAAAATTGCAATACATACAGTGGTAGCCAAATTTGAGGTAATGCAATCGTTCATCCATCTCACTGTACGGTCAACTGAGGTCCTGTTCCTCTTCTCTGAAACCCAAGCAGGCACTTCATCTGCCAACGTGGCCCACATATTTGGCTTCATTGAAGATATCATTTGCATATATTCCGCTGGCTTTATCTGTCATACATTGCAAACATCGTTAAGTAATTCCAATTTCAATTGCATAAAGAATAACTCTACTTAGTGTAATTGGAATAATGACAATAACAAAATTACAAAACATTACCAGGCGTCGACCACAAGGAGTCTCGAAAGATGCACCGATCCTGTTAGTACTCCCATAATCTGGAAGGGACAAAATGGAATCCCTTGGAACGGCGACAAATATATGTTCTTTCAAACCAAGCATCTGGTGCAGCCCACCTACTTCAGACAAAGTTTTCGGAGAAATGGTATCTAAACTGTAGGTTAAGGTGGAAAAAAGGAAAGAATCAATTCAGTGATTAACAATGTGAACAGTGTTCATAACGTGACACTTGGACCAAATTACAAATACCTACCAGGCGACCTAAAAATCAAGGAAAAACGAATCAGTTCCAACTTAAAATCAGCTATAATATTACACGATGTTCATTATATTTCTATTCGAGCCATAAACTTATTGTTGTTAATTACTGCCAGGCTACATGGTAAAAATTCTTTCACACCAAAGGTTATTAGAAAAGCTTTTGGAATGTTGAATATTCACAAATCAAAAACATGCAGATACTTACAAGTGGAAGGGGCTGAATTGGAGTAGGCGAGAGTCGGGGGAAGGAAGAGAAGGCATGAGGTCAGGTGAAATGAAAACGGGCAGGCCTTTACGGGTAGTGAGGAGGAGAGCTGGAGTTTCTAGCTCGCAGCTTCCCAGCTGGAGAAGGCCTGCCCGGGCTCTGCCATTGCTCCATGCCTTCACAGTGAACTTCATTGTCATCCTTCTTCCTCTTTCTCTGTCTTTGGCCGCCCTTGCCCAGCCGCTCCAAGTTTTTTCTCCACCAATGCGGTATATTTACGGGAAATTGGCGCAAATACATTTGCTTAGATACGTTTTTAGTCGAAATCTTTCAAATGTGCCATAAATAGTTCCAAAACTTTAGGTAAGGTTCTTCTTACCATTTTCAAACAGTTTTCTGTTTTCGATCTTTCAAAACAATGTGAAAATGCATTCTTTTTTCTATTTTCGAAAACGAATTTTTGGAAACAAGTTAAAAACTTACAAAGAAAACACAAAACAACAAATTGTCGTTTTAGATATTTTCAGTTATAATCAAACCAAAATTTTCAAAGCTTGTTTTTGGTGTTTTCAAAATAATTTTTCAAAATACCAAAGAGAAGACATTTTCAACAATCTCAAAATTATACCTTAACTTATCTTCCATTTAAGTGCTACGTGGTACTCTGGAAATGAAAATAGTTAAAATGAAAGTTACGACAACGTCTTTAAATTAATAAATTAAAAAAATATATTCTTTTATTTTCGTGTTCTCAGGATATGACGTAGTGGTAAAGTGGAGTGCTACACGATAATCAAGTAAACATCCATTATGATATGACTACGAGCAATTTTCATCAATTTGAAACGAAACAAGTGACAAAATGGTGAAATTTGAGTTTCAGTGGCTCAGTTGAAACTGAATTAAAGCTTAATGCCCCAATTGAAACAATTCAAAATTTAGTGAGGCAAATAAAATTCCACTAAGGCTAAAGTGAATGCTGATGAAAATACGAACATGGACATTAAAATTACTTGTGTAATTCTAGATCACAACGTTACATTTTTTACACTTTCAACTTCCAATTGTAAGTCACGTGAAATTTGACGTTGACTTTTTTGCCACGTGAGACACATGTTCACATATTTAAATAATTTGGAGATCAACGACTTCACTTTTGGAAGTTGAGGAGCCAAAACCACAATAATAGAAAGTTTAAAAAGTCCAACCCTAATAATCTCAAAAAATAGAGTCGAAAGCAAACAATTTGTACGTACATACATCCAACAATTATCTTCTACAAAACGACAATTACTTGTCATAATAGCACTCCAAATAACAATAACAAAAGGCTAATTGATGCATTTTATTCTCTACCAACAAAAGAAAAGAAAAGTACATGTATGGTCATTGCAAGTTTTTGTTCGAAACATGTCTACTAGAGAACGTGTTTATTAAGAGACTTTTACAACTTCATTGTTGATGACGAACTTGCAGATTTAGTGACTCAAGAATATTATACTTGCTCGTATTGCACATAAAACACTTCATATCATGCAGCAAAAAGTGTGCTTTCAATACTATCTGGTAGAGAACCAAATTCTCTACAAAACATCAACACAAACAAGGAAACTGGAATAATCAAGAAAAGGCAACAACTCCACATCGTAATCAGCTCTTTCACTATTCAGAACTTATCGAAATAAACTACAGGTACATTACATTTGATTATGATATCCTTGCATTCTTGAGAGATTGGGAGACTATTAAACCTGCTGATGTTCGCATGTAATGCATTCTGAGCGCAGCAACACAAGAGTCGTCTGTCTTGAGGTGAGGTTGGACTTGTTCCCATATCTTTTTCTTCTGAACCTGTATCGGCATATTCAATAGCCAACGAGTAGTAAGCCAATAATACAAAAAAGCCACTGCAAAATGCAGCCATGTTTTATTGTATTTTTCCATCTGCTAGGAGCTTCAACAGTTCAACTTATGAATTCAAGAATGAGTTATATCTCCAAAGATGCTTTCTACCATGATATACAAGCAGAAGATGCGACATTACATTGCCCAGAGATGCCATAAACAGAAACTATTAAAACAATGACAGCACAAGAAAATTACTTCTTTTTTTCCTAAACCATTTGAGCTAAAAATAATTATGTCTCACCCCCATCCTCCCAAATCATCCTCACCATATATGATGTAACACCAACCTTTCCCGCCTTTCTTACTTTATCACACCAGCTTATTGATATCGTCTAAATGCATTTCAGGTGCAATCTAAGCGCCTGTCGGTTTGATCCTCATTATTCCACATTATAATGAGAGAAATAGTAATTTTTTAGAGAATGTGTAGCTTAAAAAGAAAGGAAATTTTTTTGGATTTATATATAATATTATTTTATTGAAGAATGTATGGTTGATAAAAAGAGAGAGAAAAATGAATTATAATTTAATCCGGGACAGACGGGCTGAGCACTAACACTACAGTTAACTTTTTCTACCCAAAACAAGTTTGGCACCATTCTAGTCTCTTATCAAACAACCATAACAACTTCCATATAGTTCTTATCTGGGATCTGATCTAATCACATGATGATGTTAATTTTTTATGAACATTCTTTCCAAACTTCCATGGCCTTTAAGTCCTTCAAGCACATTACAGCCCTTTGTTAATTCAAATCCAACATCCAATAATAGCTTCTCTACATGCAACCGGCATAAGCTACAAATCCTTTGCTTTAATCTTGTTGATCACAAAGAACAAAGCACAATTCTATAATTTGCTATACCAAATTGGAAAATTGCAGAAACTGAGGAAGTCTTCAGTGCCCTTCTGCATAAGAATTGTTTGTATAACATGCAATGATGCTTTCCATCATTATAATAATCATCTAAAAGTATGACAAGCTTAATTATTCAAGATATGTAGTTGGCAAACATTCTTGTTTGTTTGAGATGTGATATATATCCTATCACATTTAATTGTTTTATGGAATCTGATTCTTAACAAAGGTAATTTGTTATATTTTTAATAACGGAAAAATTCCACCAATAGCCCCCAATGTTTGGGGTCATTAGCACTTGGGTTCCCAACCATAATTCTTTGAGCAGTTTTGAACGAAATCCATCCAAAACAGCTATTAATTTTATTGAAAGACAATTTTGTCCTCAAGTTCCAATAAAGAGAAAATATAATGAAAAAGGAAAACGAAAAAGAAAAAGAAAAAAAACCTTCAGCGCACCCCTCACCCCAATCCCCCATACAGTAGTCCCCTGGAGTGTTCGAGATGGTCAGCAAAAACCTGTGCAGTTTAGGTCTGAAAGGAGTTGAACTGGTCCTGAATTGAACCAAAGCTGTTAGAGGCACTGCTGCTGGACATTACTGATGCTGATGAGGAGAAACTGAGGAAGCAATCAGTGACACGTATGATATGAATTAGTGGATCCAGATATGGCTTGGCCAGGGCTTTACATACTTTCTTGAACGGTTGTGACCTCTATTGATGTGCCTTTCACATTACTTCAGATCAAGAACAGCATTTCTCTAGCACCGCCATTTCTTTCCATCTCTCCTCCGAGACCTCCTAGGCTCGGGATCCTGTTGCCCTGGACTAAGCGCCTAATCCAGTACTACCAAGAGCAATATAAAACTCAACAAAATGATAATCAAAAGCAAGTAAAGAACACAGTGGTTCACCCTCAATGAGAAAGCTCATCCTGCAGGTTCCCCTATAATGAAGAAGAAGAAAATTAAAATCTGTGACGACGTCCTCCAGCAAATGGTTCCCGGCTTCCCACAGTGGCACCAACTCCTCTTCCGAAAATTAGAAGCACAACTGAAGTTGAAAACTTTACTTTCTCTGACTCTCCTAAGTCTCAAATGCTAAAACTCCGTTCTAAACGTAATATGCATGTTTAACGTATGAAATGGAATTGGACCTATATATGTTTTGTCGTGGCATGATAAACTGTAATCTTTGCTGAGTCTATAGCATTGTGACTGTTAAAATGTAAGATACTCTAATAAAGGCGTTTAGAGCCGAGAAATTTAAGCTAATTTTGGAAAATCTATTGACATAAAATACATCCTCAGAATGCGAACACACAGCAGTCACCACGTTTAAATTAGCTCAGTGGAAAAGGAAACAAGTAGAGACAACATCGAAGATTACAAACATTAAAGCAGTTATGAGAGCCAAATGTTCCCAGTAATATCGACCAAAATGGAATTTAAAATTGCAACTACACAAAAGGCTTAGTACTGTTAGAAACAGTCAAAATATAGGTTGCTTAGAGATATTACCTGGTTTGGTGATGCAGCTTCAGGTAGGTTCTCTTTTTCTTCTGGAGAACCAAACCAAACTCTTTCACCAGGGATTGCACCCTCGGGTGGCACAAGAAGCTCAACACTCTCGTGTGATGCATCAGAAGCAGCCATCAGCATTCCATTTGACTTCACACCCCGCATGTTTCTAGGCTTCAGATTAGCCAGAACAACAACATTCCGGTCCTGCAGTATCAAAAAATTCTCCATTATACTATTTACACATACAAATGAAAAATATCCTCTGAATGCATTGGAGTTAGATCACATATACGACCATTTAATTGTGTGGAAAACAATCATCCACACCAAAAACAATAACCAACCATCAGCACCATCAGTTAAAAGGGCATGACCTTATAGAAACAATGCTGGGAATAAAAAGGGCATGATCTTATAAATGGCATTGCATGAAGCTGTAGCTGGAAAAGTGGCTGACAGATTTAGCATCAAGAAGGACTGGCAGAACATTATGCTTGAAGGTGAAGATTTCAAATGGTTTAAGAAAGATTAAACGAGGGTTTCTCAACCACAGCTTCATTGGTTCTAATATCCGAACTTGATAAACTACAGTTCCCACTTTCCAGCAAATAAAAAAAAACTATGCTATAAAGAATTCATACATATGTGTAGGATCAATGTTAATAATGCACATATATATAAAGAGATCCCTCCTTTGCTGTAGTTCCCTGACATATTTTGAGGATAAAATTGTCCTACTTATTTGAAAAAGTGAATAGATTAAAAAACCTAGCCCTTGGATCCCTCAATGAGAGTCTGTACACTATTAGCGAAGGTCAAACTCATTTCTCAAAGCATTAAATTTATGTATTTATGCATGTTTTTAAAAAGAAGTTTCTTAATACCAACAATTAAGTTTCTACTATCTTGTTATTATTGGTTTCAAATAAATCAAGTTATATTGTTGCTTTGTGATTATTTTTTTGATTATACTTGAAAAGTCAAACAACGCTCAATAGATCCCTGCTTGAAAAATTTTGCCGCAAGCGGTAGCCATAAGTCTTAGAGGAAGTTTCTAATCACGTAACAGGAGAGGAAGCCCATGAAACGGAACTCCCTCGGGAAGCGTTTCAGCATTCTCTTTGTCAAGTTTGTAGATTGTATGAAGCAAAAAATCAGATGTCTATAATGGATGAGAAATTGAGAATGAATTTGACTTGATGTGCTATAGCAAGGGATTTATGCTAGTTACCAACAAAGCATTATGGCTCTTTATATTAAGAATACAGTTCCACAATTGTTTGCCTCAAGAGTTAAGCCTAACAGTTACTAGAAAGATAAACCGGGTGAAATACTTTGTGAAAGGTCCCATGAACTTGAGCATACAGTTAACTTTATAAAAGAATGTCTAAAGACGAAAATTTCTATAAAAGACCACAGATTTTAGATTCCATTTTAAAACATAACTTCACATTGCTATAAGAGCAAGAAAAAGTTTCATTCAGGGGAAAGAAAAACATGGGAAAGTTTAAGGTCTCAAATTCAAACAGAGTATTAGCACAATCCATTCCCACAGAAAATACGTATCAATATGATAATTTCAAGTTAATTATATAAACATCTAAGAAGAATAAAGAACATATTTCATACGAAGCATCAATCTGCAAACAGGTACTTCACTGAAATGAATAAACAAGTCCTTGAACCCATCGATAATGCAATCTTTTTGGACACAGATAACAGCAAATATGAAATGAGAATATAAGATCAATGTAAAGTAAATGACATTATCTTTAGTTTTAAAGATGGGATCTAACTCTGATAATAATAAATTACAGAATAAATGGACAGAAAAATGGAACCTGTAGAAGGTGAAGTGGGACATATTTAACAAGGCCGCTACAAATGATTCTGGGCTCGGGTTCGCCTACGTCCACCTCCTCCACGTAGAGGGAATCAGCCTCCTCGTGCCTCCACGCCTTTAGGATTCTTCCCACCCTAATGTCCAGCGTGCTAGCCGCCTCTCTTATCTTCTCCACCGTCAATTCTCCATTATCCTCTTCGTTCTTAGCATTTCCTTCATCCGATGCTACTATTGTATCCGATGCATTCGAAGCTGTGCTGTAGCACAGCGTTCCTTTCTGTAAACTTGTTTTTGTTCGGTCATAAAAATCCCTATGAAGTGAAATGGGAAGTGGGGGAGCGGCCACTGGTGTAATGATTGTACTGCGGATACGATTATTGATAATTCTGGCGGTGGTGGGAAGGAGTAAAGGGCGGCGGCCGAGGATGTGGTGGCGGTGAGAAGACAACAAGAATGAGCCACTGCCTTTGAGCAGATGATTGGTAGTAGTAGTTGAGACCATCACTGCCAAATTCTCCTTTGCTCTTTGCAACTCTTTTGTTTTGCAGAATTGATTGGATTTCGTGGGATTGGAAGGATTACATTTTTTTTAATTTCTTCCCAAAAATATTATTTTTCATTTTATTTACGTATGAGATAGTCGAGTTTATTAACAAGTCATCCAAATTTTACACATTATCGATTTTTTAACTAATTTGGCCTGTTCGGTAGAGATTAAAATTCGATTAAAATTGAAAAATTAATCGTTATTGTTGACTTTTATTAGACGAGTGAGACCTAATAACGGCTATATTTTCAATTTTAATTTCAATGTGTGATTAAAAATAATTTTTTTAAAAAATGAATTTTAAAAAATATGACCAAACGGGAACTAAATATAAAACATACATATAGAATTTAATTGAACTGAAAAATGATCCTCAAGATCTCAATAAAACTCCGTAAAATAAAGTAGTCACGTGCAAGAAATCATCACATGCTTTGGAAATAAAGAGTCTCGTGTACATTACCTGAACATCGTCAAATTTAGTATATGTTTTGAGCCCCATTTTTGGCTAAGAATACATTTTATGATAGTAGATTGATGGAAAATTTGTGATTAATGAATAATGAAAAATTTTTAGTTTGCGTGTAATATTATTTTATTGAAAAATGTATAATTAAAAAAAAAAGAGTGAGAAAGATGTTTTTTTTTATTTTTTTTTTAAATAATTAGATATTCTCGTGCCTAAATCATTGCAATCTTTTTCTTCTGACTGAACAATTACACAAGAAAGCATATATCAAGGGTTTGTTTAAGCCCCTTTTTTTTTTCAAAAAATACCTTTTGTAATAGTATTATGATGGAGAATGTGTAGTTAAAAAATAGGACATTTTTTGAATTTACGTGTAATATTATTTTATTGAAAAATATGTGATTGAAATGATGTCAAATCATCGTTCAAGAACACATTTTAGGGGGAAAAATGTGATTCAAACTAGGGCCAAATACACTCCAGAGTTTCAAAACTAGAAATTTGGAAGTTGGTTCAATTTTTTAAATAAGAGAGTGTCTGTGGGAAGATAAGTCTTTATCACATTTGTAAGATCCAAATTTAAATAAAAATAAAAATACGTTTTTAAATGAATATTTAAAAACTTACCTATTTTTAGTTTTCAGTTTTATAAAGCACTGAAAATGTGTTTGATATGATATTTCTAAAAAAATTTATTTTCAAAAACAAGAATAAAATTATAAAATAAACTCAGAAAGCTTTTTTGACATTTTTAGTGTTTTCAATGAAATTTTGAAAACATTGTGAAAAACAAGCGTTTAAATAAAAATTTCTGACCAAAATTTGTAACATATTTTCCTTAGAGGAAGGATGGAGCACCTAAGGTTAAATGGGGCATACTGGGGATTAACAACTCTTGATATTTTAGGGAAGCTTGATGCAGTTGATCAAGACGAAGTTGTTTCATGGGTCATGCATTGGCAACACGAATCTGGTACATGTTTCTACACTTATTTTTATGCTGTTAACCAACCCAGGTATACTATGTGATTAATCTTTTACTTTACCACCTCTTCTTATTCTGAATGAGCTGCTCCTTTATTGAACATAATTACCTGCAAGTCTAGCTATCTGCATATGTAATGGTTCTTATAAATTCACCTTTGCTGTATCCTATGTCTGTTTTTGCAGGTGGTTTTGGTGGTAATATAGGACATGACCCACATATGTTGTATACCCTTAGTGCTATTCAGGTTTTAGCACTATTTGACAAGATAGAGGTTCTTGACATCGAGAAGGTCTCGAATTGTATCCTTCAACTTTAAAAGCTAGAATTTTGGTCTTAGATTGTTCTAGAGGTTGAATAAGTACGTAGTTTCCTTACTTTCAAGAGTGCATTGCTGCTCTCTCCAAGGAACATTTTCGTGCCTATCTGAATATAAACTTATTAACCCCGTGAACTTGTTAGATCTGCTAATGCTCAGCTCTCTTGAATGGCTTTTATTCAAATTGTAATATAGCTTGTACTTGTACATGAAGCGAGCTTGAGTAAAAATTGGCTTATTTACACTTTGAGGTAGCCATGTTCAGCCATTTGGTTTCTGAGCACCAGGTGGCATATTTGTTAAATTAATGTATATTTATGCCATTTAGAAAACCTTGCTCTTTATGCCTAATATGGTATCCTATGATGCACCGAAAAGGAGGAACTCTGAACTGAAATAAATAATTGTTCCAATGGAACCTTCTCTTCTACCGTAGATTGGCCGTAGATAGACGAACAAGCCATTA